AAGCTCTGGTTCAACGCATTTTGGGGAAGCTTTCAGGAGCAAGCTTCTTTGTATTCTCTGCACCTTTCTTTGGTCTATACCAACTCCAAAACTGACTGAAAGTGTTTGAGCCAGAGCTTATTAACTACCTATTTAAAGAATACAGAATAAAGAACTTGATTCTATTTTCTACATTCTTAGACTTTGTCTCTCATTTATAATCTGAGATTATACAAATCCCAAGCAAATGGAGCTAGTGAGCAGTTTAATCAGTCCTGCATAGCACAGCTTTACTGAGCCTTATTGCACGTGTCAAAGTTTCTGTAGTTTCACTTTTGATTTAGCTTGTTTGTCTATTTATTTTCCTTCTATTTATTCATTTTTTTCAGGCACCAGGCAATATTTTGGACTCAGGAAATAGGCAGCATTCACATGTTACAGGCAGTTCATCTAGGCGTCAATCAGTTTTTTGATCCTTGACTCTTCCATTCTCACGGTATTTGTAGGAGGCATTTAAAGTAATTCATTGCATTCCATTCACCTTCATCAGCTTAATCAGCCAGCGGGGTATTACTCTTTCAGCCTTGCAGCCAGTAATCGGGGACAGGGGAATGATTTCTCTCCTCTCTTTCCCTCATCTTCCACTTCATTGCCTAAGATCCCCTCTCCCCTTCTTCCAACCATTGCTGCAGGCATTCCGTGTTGCTTTTACTTCACTCCTACTCCCACAGGGGACTGTACTTCATAAAGAATAAAGTTTTATGTATCCATAAGTCACCGGATCCTCCTTTTCTCTGCCTTCTGTTTCCACTGGGATGGAATGTTAGGGAAGTTCAGCCTATCACCATTTTGTTCCAGGCCACACCCCATCTTTGGGATTCCCTTAGTATCCAAGCCATGTTTCAGGCATTTAGGATTCAAAGTCTTGGAGATGCAGCAGCGACATACTCATATTCTGTGTCATTGTTGTTGCTGTTGCTGTTAAATTAAGAAGATGGATAATTGTTGATGTTTACATACCTTTCTGTTTAGCTGAACAAAGAGAGGCCTTTAGCTTTATCTGCTTTCTCATCACTTGTTCGTTGTTAAATTTCCAACATTGATATACTGGAACAAGACCTTTTACATACATTCAGACCTTTCATCTTTTTTCAGCTTTGAATACCACTGCTCACACCCATGTTCAAAGGGAAGATAAACATGTAAAAAAATGTGGATCTGAGAAACCAAAATGAAATAAAATTCTACATTTTGATTTCAAATAGCAGGTTGACCTCTGCACCCACTTCTGACGAGATTTGAAAATGTGTAAAACATACTTTAATATCTCTCCAGAGGTTTGAAAGCTCTCAAAGCAACTTTATAGGTACATCTAAGATAATTTTATGTTAGAAGATTGAACAGAAGCTCAGCCAGTGCACCTCATTTTAACAGGTGGAGAGGGAAGGAAGAGGAAAAATATAACAAAATTGTAAGTGCTTCAGATACTGTGCCTTACTAGTGATTCTGGGGCCACTCTTAAGATGCAAAGGAAGAAACTCTATCCAGTTCTGAAGAAGATCATGTATGTAACCATAGATTATGTCTATTACCTCAATGACAAGAATGAAACCTAAAGTTTAGATCATGCTTGGGGAGAGATGTGGGTTGGAAAACTCAGATGCTGGACTTAATTATCTTACTTGTGTGGGTGAGTAGGGCTAGATGGCATTACCTCAGTTGTGATTATTTGAATTTCTCTTTGTCCCTCACCACTATTCCCTGGTCTACAACTGCTTCTACAATCCTAATATGATAAATGAAAACTATCCTGGACAAAAAACCAAATATGACCGATACTCCAGACTTTATGGAACACAAATAATCCAAAAGTGTGGAGTTTGTTGTTTAATCTTTCTTAAATCACAAGAAAGCCATAGATACAGGAACAAAATGGAAACTGTGTGCATGTAGTCTGTCATTAGAAAAGGGAAAACATTAAGGGCTGGTTGTGCATGAATATCAAAGTAGGAGGTTCTCTCACCTCCAAGAGTTTACAAATCACTTTGATTTGCTTTGTAATTAGTCTTTACAACTTGAGCATGGTGTTTCTTTGGACTCTGATTTTTTAAACACAAAAGGCTGCTTCATTCACGTGTCTCTATAAATTAATATGATTTCCACTCTAGTGAACATCTGTTGTAGAAAACAATATTTCTAAGTAAAAATAATAAAATGAGCATCTCTAACTATGTAGAAATTCTCTGCATAAGCAGAAAGCAGGCAGCAATATGTGGTTAGAAAAGGGAAGGGCAGCCGTCATCATTAGGGAGAAAAGCTGCCTTGTTGCTTTATACAGATAAAGGGGAGGTTCATGCATAAAAGAAGGAATGCAGCTACACTACGGACTTTACTTTGATGCAGTTTGGCCAATCCAATCCCATCCTCTGATATCTGCACATTGAACATGGGTATTTGGAAGGAGGGGAGCAAGTGTACATATATAAAGGCTTTTCGTCCAATGTCCATCCTCTGTGACTATATTGGGGCTAACAGTTTGGCCCCTTTCTATGTATAAATCACTATCATCCACATAATATAATAATAATAACCTTTGAACTGCAGAGCTGTAAGGGACCCTATGGATTATGGAGTCCGGCCCCTCTCAATGAGACCCAGTGGGGAACTGAACTCCCAAACTCTAACATATGAATGAGGCTATTGAGTTGCCATGGACATTGGGAGCCAGTGATGCTGAGAACATTTGCAAGCCAAAGAATATATGGGAGTAAACAACAGTATGTCGTGCACAGAATGCACAGGAGAACTAAGACTGGGAGATGAAGCAGTGCGCAGAGGACATTTGTTACTCTTGTATCATTAACCTATATACATGCTAAACTGCCATATCTGGCCATAAGTACAAATATAGCAGTCAGAAAGTAAAGAACATAAACAAAGAAAAATACAATACCCCGGCCAGTAAATCCACCTATTTTTAAAAAGGGACATACAAGTGGAAATGGGACATTAGTTAGTTGTCATTAGGATGTAAACTGCAATCAGGTAAAAGTGTTTAAAGGTACTGTAATGTCAGATTTGTGCTATTGGAGAATTTTCATTTTGTATAAAATGCATTCTAGATGTCAGATGAATGAATATTTAAGTATCTAAATCTATGGGAAATAATTTTAGAATGAGGCTTCTTAGCTTCAGACTTTCTGGCTAACAGAACATTCGATTTGTATGATTAACTCTGCTGGAAATAGTCCAGTGGCATTATATTTGATTGTACCTCTATCTTCCATTGTATGCTTGATGAATAGATATTGCTTGCCGGCCAGATTATAAATCCAGCCAGATTTGTCATCAGTTTGCAGATTCAGGAAATAGTTGTACACGATTTTATTGAGCCGTGAGGGAAATAGGGCCTTCAAGTTTTAAAAAAATGAATGGTATCTGTGAGACTCTTTTACTAAGAGAGTTTAGATAAATTGCTTATCCTAAAGTAAGGTTGTACCACTTCATAGGGGGTGACAGTAGAGAGATTGTTCCCATACTGGTCAGAGTCTCTTTGCATCTTCAAATGGAACACCAGAAAAAGGTTGTATTCCATCCAACATTTTAGTTTTTCATACTTAGCCTTTTGTGGTTTTCTTTCATGGACAAATATGTGGTTGCACAATTCCCACTCACTCACCTAGCCATAATATGGAACAGTCCAGCCCAGAAACAATGTGATTTCTTAGTCTAAATTGGGATTATAGGGTCAGTTAAATGGTACCATAGGTCCACTTTTCAGTTCCAAGTAATGGCTCTAGAAGGGCTGTTTTCTCTAGAAAACCACAAACACAGCACATACTCACTACAATACTCATCTTTTTTGTTTGAGTAGTAGTATTTATTCTTTTGATGCTACTGTATGGTAATCATACTGGCACCCCCTTCCTTTAATACTGGATATATCATGTCTTTATGCTGTGCAGCCCATAGGAGTTTAAGGACTGAATAAGATCACTAAAGGTAAATGAAATCTATGCGATTATGAGAGCAGTGCCTCCTGTGCAGGTCACACAAGAAGCTACAAACCAACAGGTAGAACAGCCCACTCAAAAATCATTGACCAAGGTGGACTTTTTCCATTCTATTATTTTTGTGACATGCCATCCCTTTGCTAGCCATAAGAAAGTTTTCTTCAGTATGAGAGTCTATGCGGTTTGCATTGTTTGATAGATGGGCGCCTGCCTTCACTCTATGTGGGCTGGAAATAAGCATGGCATTTTAAGTGAAAATGGACAGTATCATGTTTTAAGCTTCTTCATTCCAAGCTTGATGCTGTTTTGTGTTTCCATTAGAAATATGGCCACCTGGAACCTACCGGGGGAAGGGGGAGAGTCCTTTGTGTAAAAAAGTGGGGTCCATATTAAGACAGCCAATTTTTAAAAAAAAATTAAAGAAGAATATGTATCTTAGCACTGGGTTCCAAAGATCTCTGTGCAAAAGCCCACATGCTTCCCGATGTTCAGAACAGGTTCTATAATTTCCTCCTCCAGTTTCAGTTTGTTCAATTATTTTGAATAGTGTCATTCTAAATTATTTCTGATATATATATTTGAGAGGCATGGGATGAAATAAATGGGGGCAAGAGGAGTCAGAAACATTGGTGTATCCCTGTAATACATATGATAAAACCCTATCTAACCTTTAACAACATTCCCTTTGGGATTTTTCAACTACATTCCAAAGACGGCTGTAGTAAGTGTTTCAAATAGTCATTTTGGTTCCATAAAAATAGGACTGATCACTCCCTTGCATTTGTTTTCACCCGTCTCTTCCATGTCAGGTAATCTTATTGCAGAATAATATTCTATCTTTTTAGGCAAAATATCTAATGCACTGTTTGCTCACAGGATGTTTTTTGAAACAATGAGGAACAAACCTTTCAACTAAAAGCAACTGGTATGTTTTCTGGGATGTTTTTTGAAACAATGAGGAAGGAACAAATCTTTCAACTAAAAGCAACTGGTATGTTTTCTCTCTAGCTTTGCTGATTGCTTTCGCCGTCTTGATCGCTGGGACCCTTCTCTACTGTCTATTATCCTACATATTCAAGTAAGTTAGTGTATGTATTTCATGTGTTACCCAACTCTCCCTCTTTATTATTGTGCTAAGTAATAAGTAAAAAAAAATTGAAATTGTTGTCCTTACAAGTAGCCTTGGAAACAGAAGACAAATAAATGGGAAGGGAAATCCTCTCCCAGCTTTAGAAATATACTACATAATGGCAGTTAAGGTTCATTTTCATTCCATTTTGTTATTATATTCTGTCTTGCCACAATGACACAAGGTGACTTACAATATTAAAACACACAATATGAAGTGTACAATAAATTATTACAATATTAAAAAAACACAATTAAATTAGTATCCTGTTAAGACTAGGGCATTAAAATAGTTTAAAACCATTTTAAAAGTGTGTTAAAAATAAAAAGGCTTAACATAACATTTTAAAAGCCTCCTCATTGGCAGCCCATTGCCAAAAGGAACACCTGTCTGAAGAGAAAGATCATTGCTCGCCTGTAGGAAGGCAGCAAAGAGGGGGCCAGCTTGGCAGTGGTAGCAAAAAACACACATCTATCTTGTGTCCTCACTGAGCGCATCTGTGAGAGTGGTTGGACCAAGAGAAAGGCCTCCACTATGATCTTAAAACTAGGGTGGGTTCCTACAGTAAAGATACTCTTTCAGAAAGCGCCCAGTCATTTAGGGTATTTTTAGATCAAAACCATTGCTCTGAACTGGGTCCAGAAACAGCCTAGCAGCCTGTAGAGATGCTGCATCGGGGTGGGTCGGTATATGCCTACCATCAGCCCCAGTTAACAATCTGACTGCAGCATTTTGCAACTACATTCTGCAAGTTTCTAAACACTTTTCAAAGACAACCACAGGTATAGCACATTGTATAACTAAGGCATGTGTCACCACGGCTAGACCAGACATCTTAAGAAACAGGCACAGCGGGTCCAAATGCACTCCTCACCACTGCTGAGACCTGGGCAGCCAGGCTCAAGGAGGAACCCAGGAGCACGTCCAAAATGCAGAGCTGTGTTTTCAGGGTTACGTGTTAAAGCAAGGATCGGCAACTTCCAGAGAACCAGAATCCATATGTATCTACCCCTCTCTACCTTGGAAGGTTGCTCCTGCAATCAAACCCTCAATATTTTTCTGTTAATTTTTTTTAAACTTGGGGGGGACCTCTAACAGAAACATTTTCTTTGACAAAAATAACATATTGAGGGGTGCATGGGGGGAGATGTATGGAAAAATTGCCCCCATCTCCTAGGGGGCACATTTTGACAAAAAATATTTTTGTAAAAAATAAAATAAAATTAATTTTTGTCTTTCACTCAGAGCCTTCCTGTGCTTTCCCACAGGCTTTTCAGAGGTTTTTTTTTTCCTTACAAGAAATAATTGGTTAAGGGAAGGACAGATGGAATAACTGCACAACACCTGTGATAGCTGTATAAGCCATCTGTGTGGGAGCTTGTTTATTATATATGTTTCTATGGAAGTAGACAAAGAGAAGATGCATGGAAAATCGCTCTCTCTATATGTAGAATATGGATTTATATTTTATTTTCCAGTATTTAGTAACCGGGAAGTTATTTGAATATTTATTTCTGTAGGTCTTGTTCATTTAAAACTTAAAGCATAAAGAATTAAACATATATCAATGTATTCCTATATTCTAATTCACATGTATGGGTGTGCTGATGTAAATACAAATGTTGATACACATGATCTTCCAAGTCACTTTTGTCCCATGAATATGTGTTTTCAATTCTCTCTTTCTCCTTCTCTTTCTCTCTCTTTACCTGAAGGTTGTGTATCCTCATTTAGTGCCACCAATTGCTGCTCACAGGAGCTATGATCATAACTAAAACTGAACTGGCCCAATGTTTGTGGAAGATTGCTATCTACATTATGAACTGAAGGAATAATATATATATTTATTTGGGACCTACTGTGAATAATCTTGATTTTTTGAGTTTAATAAATCCAGGTGGACACGATACAGGGAAATACCAGTATACAACCAAAATTTGACATTTTCACTGCAGCTGCTGACTTGGATGCAGAGGCAAAACTCCTTTCAGTGTTAAGCATGTCTTGATTCTTTAAAAAAGCAAGCAGCTGCTGTGGAGCTTCAGAGAAGACCCCAGCAGCATACATGTGACTCTCCTGCATCTGTACCATGGAACTTTATGGCATTGGAGGTCTTGTTCTTTATGGCCCACCCATCTGGAATAATCTTCAGTTAACATGGCTACTGGTATGGTGAGGATTCAAGAACCTCCTCTGAACATCTGTGGTCTAATTTTTTAAAATTGTTTTATTTACAGGCCACCTTTTTCTGATAAGGGGGCCCAACTGTGTTTCTTAATTTCTTTAGATATTTCTAAGAATTTCTGTAAATCTACTAAGTCAAGTCAATCAAATTCATTTAGTGTTAATATCGATTAATATTTAGTTTTACTAGCTTACGACTGGTAACAACTGCATCCTAGATTAATACAAATGTTCATTAATTTTTAGTCTCCACAGTGTACAGGAATACTGCCGTTGTCTTCGACGTAAATCTGTTTCCTTTGTAAGTATACACACATTTATAATATTATTTCTAAAAAATTAAATTCAAACAATAATTATTTAAAAATATCTTTAAATAATAATTTTAAGATAATAATTTTCAAGCTTGCATATCTCACACACTGTATGTACTTCATACACACACAAAGTGTTGGTCACTTACAAATGCCTCCTTCCCCAAAGAGCATTCTCTAAAAAATATGAAGAGAACTCCCACATGTGTGTCTTGCCTAATTCTTTGATGGTCTGGTAGTTTTCCTGAGTCTTCACAAAATTACATAAAAGCATTCATATTTAGCTAGGTTGCCTTGACCTGTGTGTGAAGCACATTTGTGCTTTCATTTGTTGTGCAAGGGAATTTAACTACTTCTGGCATTATTACGGTGCTTGTAGGTGCTCAGAAAATCAGGGAGGTTTACAGTAGGACTGCATTTTTATCACTTTGCTGCAACCATCAATCATAAAGAAATTTACACACAAAAACAGCAACAGGAAATTGGAGAGGAACTTGCTGAGGTTGATCAGTGAAAGTAAGAAAATCAAGTTCTTAGTGACCAACAAGATACTATTCCAAATGAAGCCGTGGAGGCTACTAAGATATGCAAATCTTGTGTGTGTGTGTTTGAGTGAGTGAGTGAGAGAGAGAGAGAGAGAGAGAGAGAGAGAGAGAGAGAGAGAGAGAAAGGCCGTGCTGAGCTTAAAACAACAGGATTGTAATGACCCTAAGGAGGCTTCCAAGGTAGATGAGATATTTAACGAGTGGTTTTTCCAGTTCAACTCCACAGTGACTTTCCATGGCCAGGCAGGAATTCAAACCCAGTATTTAACAAGTGGTTTTACCAGTTCAACTCCACAGTGACTTTCTATGGCCAGGTAGGAATTCAAACCTAGGTCTCCTGAGTCCTAGCCTGTCACTCTATCCACTACACCAGACGTGGGCAAAGTGCAGCCTGAGGGCCACACACGGCCCGCTATCTGCTTCTGTCCAGCCCGTGGACAGTTTTGAGTATTTAACAAGTGGTTTTACCAGTTCAACTCCACAGTGACTTTCTATGGCCAGGTAGGAATTCAAACCTAGGTCTCCTGAGTCCTAGCCTGTCACTCTATCCACTACACCAGACGTGGGCAAAGTGCAGCCTGAGGGCCACACACGGCCCGCTATCTGCTTCTGTCCAGCCCGTGGACAGTTTTGAACATCAAAACTCCGCTTCTGTCCGGCCCGTGGACAGTTTTGAACATCAAAACCATTTATAGCTTTTTGTCTAAAGTTGATCAGTTGCTTATCTTTAACATACCGCCAAAAAACGTCTTTAGTATTTGTGAAGATTAACAAGTTTAAAATAAAAACAATCATAACGTCACTGTTTCATTTTATTTTTAAGTAAAGTTGGTTCGGCCCCCGAACACAGTTCAGATTTTTCATGTGGCCCCCCTATAGAAATTAATTGCCCACCCCTGCTGTAGACCATACTGGATCCACACTATACTTTGTGAAACTTTAGAACTCACATGTAATTATTTCCCCTTTGGAAATAGCATATCAATGGCATAGTTATGGGCACACACATAGCTCCATATTATGCACATATATTTATGGCTAACCTGAAATAGCCACCCCTCAGTACCACTACCCAGAAAACTTTCCTCAATCTGAGATTCATCAACTAAGATATCAACATCTGGATTCATGTCAATGAATCACTGGAAAAATTCCACTAGATTGTCAACACTTTTCATTTCTTCAAGTGACCTAAGCCTGTACTGCTCCACACAAGTACACTTTCTGGAAACCACAGTATAATTACACAAGGAACATCCCAGCATGACATTATATTGGAAACAGCTGCACATACTTCAACACTTCCAATGTCTGACCAGACCACACCACCAAGTCTACTGTCTTCTGTCCTGCTCTCAGAAACAAACCAATCTGCTCTGAACCACAGGACAGAGACTCAAACTCATGGAGGTAGGTATTCCTTAAACTGCAGTACCCACCCAACATGGTGAAAAAGCAAATTGACAGGGCCAGACTGGTATCCAGGAACAATCTGCTGCAGGCCAGTAATATGGATACAGTGGGGTCTTGACTTGAGAACTTAATCCGTATTGGAAGGCGGTTCTCAAGTCAAAAAGTTTGCAGGTCAAATCTGCATTTCCCATAGTATCCAGGAACAATCTGCTACAGGCCAGTAATATGGATATAAAATAGTTGCCTCCTTTAACAAGTTTGGACCTCTGTCCCAAAAATATCTCCTAGCATTCTTTTGACAGTCCAGGTCACCTGGCTTACATCTGCTGTTGCTATGTAATTGCTTCTCCCAATATTTATGCCTTGTCATGAGTTACACCCAAAGACCTTTACATATGTAATTAATTAGCAAATGTAGTTTGCAGCTACTTGCTACTGCAGTCCTCCCTGAATCAGAAACTGATTGAAATTTGCTAAGGCTGAACACCGCCTTTCCGGACTAGTGACAGTTATATTTGATTTTTGATGTGAGTGAGGAAGCAGACAGGCACCCTTTTCACTGCCCAACAGTTAACTGAAAGTTCAAGTTTTGCACTTTCCCTGCCTCCCACGTGGGTTTTTTTCAGTTTGTAACTCAAATCTAAGTATGTAAGTCAAGTCAATATTTTCCTATGAGAGTGGTTCTTAAGTCAAAATGTTCTTAACTCGAGCTGTTCTTAAGTCAAGACCCCACTGTATAAAATAGTTGCCTCTTTTAACAAGCTTGGACCTCTGTCCCCAAAATATCTCCTAGCATTCTTTTGACAGCCCAGGTCACCTGGCTTACATCTGCTGTTGCTATGCAATTGCTTCTCCCAATATTTATGCCTTGTCATGAGTTACACCCAAAGACCTTTACATATGTAATTAATTAGCAAATGTACTTTGCAGCTACTTGCTACTGCAGTCCTCCCTGAATCAGAAACTGATTGAAATTTGTGAAGGCTGAACACCGCCTTTCCGGACTAGTGACAGTTATATTTGATTTTTGATGTATCATGTCCTGATTTCCATTACCCACCCAGATGAGTTGGTCCTCTTTCCCTACCTTGCTGGGACTCTTTATTCTATAACATTTAATAATTAAGTGATAGCAATCATATCATGGAATCGAAATGCTTGTTTATGTCCCTGTCATGTTTGCTGTCAGCCATAATGGTGGATGATACTCTGTTTTTGCTTAATATGACAGCTAACTTGACAGTAATGAGAGATGGTCACTGCTCAAATAAATTTGAACTATGCCAATGTCAGTAGAGTAGGTGACAGATTTTCAGAATATAGTGGTTGATTAGTGGAAGTGCTTTGGGATATTTTCTTCTATGGAAGGTATTGTCAAATGCTTTTCATTTCAAAATGCCTGATCCGAAAGTCAACTTCAGGCTGCAAATCAGTACTCTGCTGCATTAAACTGGGGGCACTTGTGCAAAGAACAAGAATCGGACTACTTTATGTTCAAACCCAGCATCACCACAGTCATGAACTAAGGAGTGGAGCTGACATTGGAGTGCAGGAAGTCTTAGCTTGTTGATCAGACTAGGGCAGTAAGCCTTTATGCTTGGGCACATAGTCTCAATACTAGGACTCCCTTACAAAGAGGTCTTGTTCTACGTACCAGTGACAGCACCTAGGAGACCATATAGTTCTCCATAACTGGCTAGATTTAGCACATGAGAGTTTCAACTCCATGTTTAGAAACTGAGTTCCTTTCAGTACAAAATATGTTTTTCTTAGCACAAGTTTTTCTCACCTCCACATTTTGCAGATTGGCTTGCTTTATTTTGTGATTGGTATTTAAAGATAAGCATGGGCTGTATTTTCTGGTCTCTCCAGTTCTTGTTGTAGTTATTTCAACCTTGTATGCTACCTTCAGTAGGTTTTGCTGGGAGGGGCTTTTTTGGATTGGGGTGACTGTCAATTAATCCAGTAGTAACCAATTGCCCATTCACTTCCTCTGGTTTGTACAATATGCTGTTTGATCTATTCATTGGTGAGTAAATGAAACCTTTTATTCTTTCTCTTACCAATGTCTCGGAGTGAGTTATTAAGACTGTAAATGCCAGTTGATAAGACAATAAGGTGTGGTCTACTCTGGTGAAACTTGAAGCTAATTCCGTTATGTAAGTTCTTGCACTTCTGCTGCACAGTTAGAGGTTTTTGTTTTTTTTGCCAAAATTCAAAACTCTGCAGCAGTTCCTTAGCTTTTGCTTTTTTTTTTGGTGTTTGAACACAATGAAAGTATAACATGCATGCAAGCCAATTCTCTCTCGGACTGGGGACTAGCCATCATAGTCCCAATTTACAAAAGAGGAAATAGAGGGGATCCTGCTAACTATAGACCAATAAGCTTATTAAACACTATTAGTAAACTATATGTAAGGCATTTATTGGGCATATTACATGATTGGCTTCTTGAGGAGAATATACTTGCAGAGGAGCAAGCCGGATCTAGGCTGGGAAGATCCACCATAGACCAGGGTCTTATTCTGCACCACCTGGCATCTAAATACTCTGCCCTTAAAGGTGGTGCTCTATATGCAGCCTTCATAGATTTCAAATCTGCTTTTGATCTCATATCAAGGGAACGCCTTTGGTCTAAATTTGAGACCACAAGTATTGATAAACGGCTTCTCCTGCTGATGCGGCGACTTCATGAAAATACACATTTGCGGGTTCTTTGTAACTCCGCGGGGATCTTATCCAACCAAGTCACTGTGCTTAATGGAGTGAGACAAAGATGCATACTAGCCCCAATTCTCTCTCACCCTCTCATCCACCCACCCACCCCCACCCAAACATTCTACTCCACCACTGCTCACCTGAAGATTTCTCTCCATACCTGGAGATCTGGAGAAGGACAACAATTCCCCCTGACTGCAGCTGGCACACTGAGACTTGGGTAACCATAAATGTGGTCTGCAAGAGCAAAGAGGTGGCCCATTCTGGTTCTAACTGTAAGTTGCTCAGGATGGGGAATCTTATTGCTGGTA